AGGCTTGAGTACAGAGAACCAAGCCTGGATGATATGAGGTCAAGAGTTGGCAGAGGCAGGCAAGCAGTGAGCCTTTGTTGAACGTATGAACTCCCTGCAAAGTGGAAACCAGTTTTGGTTAAATTAATTAGGTAGCTATATCAAGAGGGGGCCCTGAGTAGCTGACGACAATAGAGGGGGTGGAAATTGGCCAGGGAAGTTGGAGAGCCAACAGAATCCTAACCCAGGACAGGCAGTGGGGAGGAGTTTTGACCTTAGCCTCAGGCCATGGGGAGCCATGGGATGGTTTACCCAGATTTGCACTTCGGACAAGTGAGTAATACCCCCCGAGCACCTTCTGCGTGACAGCCTGTCTGGAATCCTCAACAACTTCATGCGCTAGGGCTGCCTGACTGCAGAAAGCCTGGGCTGGCAGGCAGGGGAGGCTCCTGCAGGTCCCAGTCAAGGCTGGGAGGTGGGAAAGACAAGCTTTTGAGGAGGTCGAGTGGAAAATTGCCAGAGTGGGCCCTGTTCCTCAGCGCTCCCAGAGGTCATCTCACAGTGACTCTTTTCCTCCAGGATTACGTCAGGCTCCTTGGAAAGCCCTTCGACTTCAGAAGCCAATCCCGCAGGGCACATCCACTTGACAGCCTCTGACAGGGACCCTGCAGCAGACAGAGAGGGCAGCCCGGTGTCCAGCAGCAGCCCCTTCCAGCTCCTGGCCTCCTCAGATGACGACATTATTGACTTGAAGTGAACAGAGTTCAAATCTCGTTTGCCATCTTTAGTTTTCTTATGGAGGTTTATACTCTTTCAACAGTTTCTGATGTCCTTTCTCAACAAAAGTGGCTTCGAGCCTTGTCGGTGATCTGTCGGACCAAACCCTGCACACTCGGCCAGTCTGGGTCACTCGCCCACATTAGGTGCCATCTTTTTTGACCTTTGTTTCTTTCTGTTCAAGAACCATCAGTCCCCTTGTAATAAAGGTGGTAGATTTCATTGAAGTTTTAGACTGAAACTTTGAATAAATCAAGACGTTCATTCTTACTTATGCAACGTTCTCTTATATTTGATATATCTAGATGGAGAATTATTTTTTCATTGCAGTTTTGATTTATGTCACATAATATGTTTCTTCTGATAAAGAAAAGCCTTTGTTTTTGGAATTGATCATAAATAAGTTTTCTTTCTGCACCTTTGGCCCGTTGCTGTTTCAGTTCACTGTGATTGGAACCAGCTGCGTTCCTGTCTGTAGAGACGCTTAAGAAATGCTAACTAGTTAGACCTTAGAAACTCCTTCCTTTCTGTCTCATGGAAAATACTAGGCTAGAGGTGCTTGTTAAAAGTCTTAAGATTATTTACCTGGCTTTATTGTTGCTCTGAAATCATATAACCAGGGAACAGTTACTCCTTGTGATCAAAAGTACATTATTGTCAAATCTCGCCTCTTGTTTGGGTTTGCCTTGCCTTTTTTTTTTTTTTTGCCAGAGAACATGTGCATTTGCAAAAGAGAGTCAGAGAGAGGGAGATAAAGCACCCCTCAGTGGGGCATAGTCATGCCACAATCCCTTCTCTCTTATTTCTCCATCCTGTCAGGATTTGGGGTACACATCTACACACACCTAGCGTGTTTTTTAAGCCACTGGGGCTGGAACTCAAACCACGCAGTTTGTTGTGTGAGAACCAACTCCCTTAACCATCAAGCCATAGGGCTGCCCTCTCCCCTTGTTTTTTAATCCACCCATTTTGTCCGTGAGAGAGAAATAGGCACCCCAGGCAGGGTCCCCACACTGTGATCCAGCCCTGCCTCAGCCAGCCCTGGATGGTGAGAACATAAAACTGGCATACACAGGGCAACCTTAGGCCTTTCCCGAGGCTGTCCCCACTGGCCTGTCATGCTCTCTCACGTGAACCACACGATATCCTTCCTCCCACATGTATCTGCCTCCCCTGGTTTCCTCCTCATACTGAGCAGAAAGAAATATGCACTGGGGGCCAGCAGGAGGCATGGAGATTCAGGCACTGGATCCCATACGGCCAACTGCACGGTTCAAGTTCCAGACCTGGCGGCTGAGAACTCACACCAGCCATGTGTGCATGCATGCCCAAAATCCCAGGAAGAGAATGGAGAAGGAATAGCAGATGGCCATCCCCACCCCACCTCCGCAGGGGGTGATTTCTCATTTTTCTTCTCTGTCTCTCTCTCACTCTCTGGCAAGTGTACATACCTAATGGCAAAAATCTTAAAAAAAAAGAAATGTGCATTGGACCAAGTGCACATAAAATAGTGACATGTCCATCTATACCCAGAGGAGAGCAAAGGGGAGAAATCCAATTTGAATGATGTTGTTCACAACGATGTTAATTTGGGTGAAGAGGGTAATTTACCTTCGGCTTTAGTCTAGCTGATCCCTTTTTCTCATTGCCAGAGGGTGTATGCACTTATCAGAGAACGAGCACCCCCCAACAGGGCATGGCCACACTGCCACCATTTCCCCCTCCATTTTTCCTTCCTTTCAGGATTTGGGACACACACACAACACCTGGTGTGTTTTTCAAGCCACTGGGGCTGGGATTCGAGCCACGTTCAGCAATGTAGGATCCAGATCTCAAGGCACAGCATTTAACCACTGCACCGTAGGGCTAGCTCTGATTCCATTTTATTATATGTCTTTTTTCCTACATCACCCACCAGAAGAAACTTCCAATGACTTCTCTGTTAGAGCAGCTCCGAAGAGTGCTTCTGCAGGTCTTCTCTAAGTGCAGAGGGCTGTGCTTGACAGGCTCCTGGCCTGGCGGATCTTACAGACGTTTGGAGCACAACGGAGCCAAAGCTGAAGGCTGCCTGCCTCCTTTTGATCAGAAGACAATAGGAAATGGTAAAGACAGCACTTTCTTAGGTGTGACCTGCTAGGCTGCTTCTAACCAAGTATGTCTGCTCACATTCTTTGCAGCATTTCTTGTTCTCATCTTCTCTTTGTGTTTTGTTATGCCCTTTTCCTGTAGAGAGAAAAAAACACCAAGTCAACTGTACATTGTATCTCAAGCCCACCCACCGTTTTGTGAATTAGACTTTATTAATCCTGCTTTGCAAATAAGGAAACTGAGTCTCAGAAAAGGAAAGTGATTTGAACCTGAGAGTTCTTTGACCCCAGAACCCTTGCTCTCCCCATCTGCCCCACAGAGCCAGGCCGAGTGCCTCATGTCAACTGGATCTGGCTGTTGTGTTTTATGTTTAAAAAAAATTGTGAGTTTTATCAGCTTGTATCTGTGTTTTTCCTATCTTTTTTCCTTGAAGTTTCTTCTTAGCCTGGAATTAAAAAAAAACAAGGGCTATTGAGAGCATTCTTCCAAATCGGCTGAATTAGAGCCACCCACGACTTAACAGGAATCACAGATCTGAGTATATATAGAGGGGGCAAAAGGGGAACCTGCTGATTAGCCCAGTGAGGGCTGGGAGAAGGGGTGGGAGCCTGTTCTGGCGATAGCCTCTGTTTACAAGGGCCAAGAAGTAAACAGGCGTAGGTGCCACAACTCGAGGCTAGCAGGTGCTAGCTGGTCTCACATAACAAGCCTCTGCTCCCCCACTGGCCATGTGGACCGTCTGACTACAACAGTTTGCCCAGAGTTTGAAGTATTTATCCTCAAACACCAAGTGCCTACTGTCCAGAAAAGGTCGCGTCCATTGGGGAAGGAGAGAAGTAAACAGGTGATTCCAAAGCAGTTATTGCTTCTGTGATTAGAATTTACAATGCAAGCACAAGATGCCTTGGCAGCAGAGAGGGGTTTTAAAGATAAAGCCTATCTTTAAAGATCATCTCATAGTCAAGACTGAAAAATGTTGGTGGCCAGTACAGTCAGGTGACTGCAAAAGGTCAAACTATCATAATCATACCAGCTGACTTACTGCTTTGCCTGCGTTTGGGCCTTTACATACATTACCCTGCTCACAGCTCTCCTGGAAGGTGATTATCACTGCCACTTAAAGATGAAGAAACAGAGGCCCAGAGAAGTATTAGAAGCCAAGCCTTTTACTCCCACAGCCCTGGTTCTTTCCAGAATTACCACAGCCCTCCACCCAGCAGCCTGCACTCACAGTGTTGGCTCTATGAATCGGGTACAAATGACGAGATGCCAGAGCTTCATCATCCTCACCTCCAACGGTGACTTGGTTGCATGAGTGGAGAGGCCATTAAAATCCTGCAAGGGACACAACATTGGGAGATAATAAGATTCAAGAGTTAGGAATCCTAACAGGGAGCGTGGCGTTCACCGTTGAAAGCCCAGAGAAGTCACACATGAGAACTCCACCTAACACTGGTCTTTGGAACCTGGAGGCTATAGCTATGGGCGGTTCTGTGGTCGTCAACGATCTGGAGGCCACAACTCTGTCCCCAGGAGCCCAGCGGGAGCTGGAGTGCTGGGATAGTCTCTGAGAAGAAACTCCCCAAGACAGGCTACTTCCACCCTGGGGCTCTCAGAGGGCAGAACTGGCCAGACAGAAAGATCAGGCCCCTCCAATCCAGGTCCCAGGGCAGCCAGTAGGACGGAGCAGAAACTGCACAGGCGAGCGGGAGGATAGCGGCAGACGCCTCCTCCGCGGGTTGCGAGTCTCTGGCTGGGGCCCACGTGCTCCACCTTCGTCCCTCATTGGTTGAAGCCAGATTGAGAGGCTGCTCCAAGCAAAACAAAAAAGTCACACAGTCCCCGCCCTCCCTCCTCATTGGCCAGCTCAGTTCTGGGGCAGTTTTACTGGCCCCACCTCCGGGTTCGCACCATACTGCAATTGGACGGCTATGCTCCGGGCCCAGACACAAACTCCGCCTCCACCTCTACATTGGACAGCTCGGTCCTAGGGGCGGGTCCAATGCGCTTCCCCCACCGCCCCCGTGCTA